GCTATTTTGAGTTGATATATAGAGTTATTATTGTTTATTTGTGATAGTTTTATTTTGAAATGATGAGAAGGTTGTGATTTTATGGGCAAGGCAATTATTTGATAGGCTAAGCGGCCTAAAGCTGCCCAACCAACCCCACTCAGCCCAAACTAATAGGACATTTTGTGGGTAGGGCTGGGCATCAGGCTGCATTTTACAGCCCATTCATTCTTCGGGTTGGGCATCAAGCAGAGTCCTGCCTACCCAATCTAACCCATGTGTACCCTTAGTCCATATTCTAAAATACAAAGTCCTTCTTTTTTTTTTTTCCTTATCTATTTAATAATGAGACATAATAATAATATCAATCATCATTACGCATCAATACAAACAATTAAACAATTTTCCTCATAAGAAAATAATTAAACAATTAATACAAATTAATAATAAAGTACTCTATGATGGTGAATAGTAAAGTACTCTATTTCTAATTTATAAATTATATATATAAATATTGATATATTAATACTTTTATATTGAGTGATTAGTGATTACCCTGTGGTCAATGCTCACCTGACAGTTTTTCTTGTTTGTCTTATAAACCAAATTAACAAGAAAAGAAAAGCTCTCTCTCACACCCACACATTGCACTGGAGTCGGCTTCTCTCCTTTGAGAGAAGGCTCCTCTGCCTCTCCTTTGAGGCAAAGAAAAATCTGGACCGTTCAGATTTATTATTATTATTATTCTTATTTTTTATTTATATTTTTAAATTAAAAATGTATAAAAATTTTAAATTTTTTTTAATAAATATATTAATCAATCTGAAAGTTCATATTTAATATAGATGCTTTAAATTTAATATAAAAAATTTAAATTAACTTTTTAAATATATTCTGGACAGTGTAAATATATTAAAATAATTTAAGATTAATTTTAGATCATTTATATCAAATTTGAATTTTCAAATTAATAAATATATTTATTAAAATTTTTTTAGAATTTTTATACATTTTTTAATTTAAAAATATAAAAAAAAATAAAAATAAAAATAAAAATAATAAATTTAAATCGTTTAAATTTAACCTCTGTTTAAAGGAGAGGTAGATGAGGTTTTTCTCAAAGCTGAAAAGCCAACTTCCATTGGACAAAGGATTTTTTTTTTAAAAAAAAAATTACAAGACAAAGCCACAAAACAAATGAAAGGCCGGCCATAGCCTGATAGCCTGTGTCGTATTTTCAGCTTCATGGAGATCGAGCACTAACAAGAGGTACGGACAGCTCAGGTTTCATCATGAACCAACGTTTTAAAAGAGCTCCCTGATCTGCAAAAAATTATCAACTTCTCTTTCATTTTCTTGGCCCTGGAAATTCTTTTTGTTAGCTCAACCTAATTTTCGATTATATTCCCGAGAAAGATAGAAATGGGGGGCTTTTCCTTGTAATTATTCGCTCCTCCTGGAACAAATTTTCTTCCATTCATCTGCATTGAAGTTTCAGCATTCATTGCTGCAACCCCCTCATTGGAGCTTTGATTTTTCATCAATGCACCTTGCAATCTCGCAAAAATTTCCCGAACCCATTCTTCTTTTGTGATGCGGATCCCACATTGTAAAAAGTTTGTGCTTGCTTCCGTGAGTGAGATTTAGGGTTTCTAATCCAGCAGCTTGCTTCCCCTTTTCTGGCTTGTGCAGAGTTTTGTCCCAAGGGCTAGGTTAATTCTTTATGGGTTCAATCTAAACAAGCTTGTATAGATTTTAGCTACTCATCGCTATGCTGAAGCAATTTCTCAGCAGGCTTCCTCGGAAGTCATCCAAATCCGACTCCAACGAGTCAAATCGTGGTGATTCTTCTCATTCGAGCCCCTCGCTGGACACTTCAGCACGCATTTCCGGGAGGAGTAATCGATCAAACGGTGGGAGTTCTTCCGGTCGATACAACACTGCCAAACGCACTTCTTCGTCGGCAGTTTTTCCAGCGAGCATCGTGTCTGGGATCGAACCCTTAGTTCCTTTCAAAGATGTACCCAATGCGGAGAAGATGAACCTGTTTGTGAGCAAATTGAGCCTTTGTTGTGTTACTTTTGATTTTACAGACCCTGTTACAAATACCGTTGAGAAAGATGTCAAGAGGAAAACTTTGCTCGAACTTGTCGATTTTGTGGATTCTGGGTCGATGAAGTTTAGTGAACATGCTATCTTTGCTATGTGCAAAATGTGTGCCATTAATCTCTTTAGAGTTTTCCCGCCTAATTGTCGGTCAAATGGGAAGCGTAGTGCGGGTGGCGAGAATGATGATGATGAGCCAACATTCGATCCTGCTTGGCCACATTTACAGATTTTGTATGACTTGCTACTTAAATTTATTACTTCTTCTTGCCTTGATGCTAAGGTAGCGAAGAAATACTTCGACCATTCATTTATTTCGAAGTTGCTTGACTTGTTCGACTCAGAGGATCCAAGGGAAAGAGATTGCTTAAAGACAATTCTGCATAGGGTTTATGGGAAGTTCATGGTGCATAGGCCCTATATTCGAAAATCTTTTAACAATATCTTCTATCGGTTTGTGTTTGAGACGGAAAAACACAATGGAATTTCTGAGTTGTTGGAGATTTTTGGGAGCATAATTAGTGGCTTTGCTTTACCTTTGAAAGAGGAACACAAGATTTTCTTGTGGAGGGTTTTGATCCCCTTGCACAAGCCAAAATCCGTGGGGCTTTATTTTCAGCAATTGTCCTACTGCGTCACACAGTTTATGGAGAAGGAGCCGAAGTTAGCAAGCACTGTGATAAGAGGTTTATTAAAATATTGGCCAATAACAAATAGTCAGAAAGAGGTGATGTTCTTGAGCGAATTGGAAGAGATTTTGGAGGCAATCAACATGATCGAGTTCCAAAGGGTCATGGTTCCATTGTTTTGGCGGATTGGGTGCTGTATTAACAGCTTGCACTTTCAGGTACAATCTTCGTAATTTACATACTCCTGCGCTAGTTTAAAGAATTAACCCCATGATTAGTTGGTTACTTTCTGTACTTGTTTTTTTTTTTGACAGAAGTGCTCACATTTCAGTTATTGGCTTTCACGTGCATGATAAAATCAGCAATTAAAAGTCTTTAATTAATCCCAGATCACGAGCCTTTTTCTCATGCTAATGAACCATTCTTCCATCATTGCTATGTGTCATTTACATTGGATGTCCACGTTATAGGCAAAGATTCTTGACAAGGGGGCTTGATTTGCTGCTTTATGATGCTTAGGATATGCTTGCTATCATGATATACCTACATCACAATTTTGGCAAATTGAGGAGGACTGTGTTAAATAAGAGATGATATGGTTTTCCAATTTCGATGAGTTGTTTTACTATTGATCAAATTTTCTCAGGCTTGATGTTTTTGGGAAATAGTTTTGTTACGTGTGGTGAATTTGATACATGGATGGAATTTGCATGGTGGTCACTGGTCACTGGAAGTCTAATCGGTGCTTATCATAGGTTGATTATTAATTGGTTGCATGGTGGTCACAAAAGCTTGGTGTTTGGTTGGTCACGCACCAGATTTTAATTTGCATCTGGGCAAGTGTTTTTTTAACATCTCAACAGATTTCCATTAACTAGAAGGGGTCTTTTTGAATTGACATGTTGCTTCAGGTTCAAAGTCAAATCTATTGGAACTCTCAGGAGATACTTCTGTGCATGCGTTCTGTTAGACCGAGACTATTGGCCTTGTTCCCCCAATTGAATGTGAAAATAATGTTACACCGCAATTGATTCAGAGCTTTCCATATCTTTTTTTTTCCCTTTGGAAAAAGTAACTTGTCAATTTCCTTGTTGGTTGTGCTTCCTGATTTCAATTTGTTCTCTACTTTACATGTCTGTTGCTTTTTTGCTCCCTTTACACTGTAACTTCAACAATATTGAGGTTCAGTTGTTTCATTCGACATGCTTCTGGCACTCTGTCCTAGGTAACCTTCTAAAGGTTATAAATTTTCTTTTTAACTTGGAGTGTTGCAGGTAGCTGAAAGAGCCCTTTTCTTATGGAATAACGACCATATCATCAACTTGATTGCACATAATCGTCAGGTGATCCTTCCTATCATATTTCCAGCTTTAGAGAGGAACTCTCAGAACCACTGGAATCATGCAGTGCTCAATTTAACCCTTAATATTAGAAAGATGTTCTTGGAGATGGATGAGAAGCTCTTCATGTCCTGTCATTCTAGCTTTAAGGAGGAAGAGGCAACTCTAAGCTTAGCAGCTGAGCAGCGAAAGGAAGCATGGAAAAGATTAGAGCATGCAGCCAGTCTGCAGCCTGTAATTGGAAATACTGCAGTGTTGGTCTCTCCTTAAATAACCAGGGTTTCATGATTTCCCAGTCCTTTTCACTTTCTTCCTGTATGGAGGAAAAATTCTCCGCGATGAATGTGGGAATGGCTGTTGTTGGGCCTGCCATTTCTTTTCCCCTGCATTATATGCCTTCTGCAATCTGGCTTTCAGCCTGATGTTGTAACATGGTTTTGATTGTGACAGAGAGATACAATTTGCGTCCTCCTCCTGTAAGTGATGAAAAGGATCATGCTGTAGTGGATGGAATGATTTTCTTCTGTATAAGCTAGTTTCCAAAATCTTCTCAACTTGCTGTGCGTGCGAGCATCCGAAGCCAAGGCTATGGCAGTAGGTGAGAAGGCGGATTTGCAGCTTAGTTGATCACTTGATCTTTCATTAAATATGTATAGTGCTTCCTCGACTATCTAACACTCCTAATTGATACTCTCTCTCTCTCTCTCTGTTTTTTTTCCCCGGCCAAACCTAATTGATATTCTCTAACGGTTGAGTTTTGACCAAAGAAACGAAGACCCTTCTACTGTGCCTTTTCCACACATGTGAAAATATAGTGGTTCTCCTTGTCCTTGTTTTTCTTTTGTGTGGATGTCTATATTAGCATTCTGATCAGGGTGAAAAAAAAAGGCCTTTTATAAATGAATAAATAAAATATAAATAAATAATGATCTATTAAAACAACTTTAACGGTATAGTAACCAGTGATATCCCTATCACTTAGAGTTGAATCGTTTCCGCCTAAACCTGGAAGAGTTGGAGCAGCAGTACCCATTTTGGAGACAGTGTTGAAAGGAAGCAAAATTCACTGTCATTTAAATATCTGGCCAGTTTAAATAGGCTTAGTATTACATTTTGTGCACACTTAAGCGCAGTTCAGATGGTCGACTTTGGTGATCCTTCATCTTTATAGTCGAGGCTAGTCGTTTTCTGTTATGGCTTAGGTTATGTTGTTTTTTTCATTCTTTTTTATGATATGTTCAAATCTTGAATTCCGTAAAGAGAGATAAAGGAGGTTAAGAAAGATAAAAAAAAAATGCTTATAAAAACTGTTAAATGAGAGTTTTTGATTAACAATATTCTAAAAACTCAGTTAATAATAGACTATAATCTGCATAACTGAACTCTAGCATAAGGCTTCTTGTTATTTATATCATGTTCAACTCTAATCAAAGTCATTTCTTCCCTATCTTCCACTCCGTTAATTTTAGTCATTATATTTGTACTTTTTAATACACCTTTGAATTTGGCCTTCCATGGAAACCACTCTGGAAGGCGGAAGGCGGAAGGCGGAAAGCAAACAGCATTTCAGGGCTTCACTCAATGAAACGACATGTCGTTTGGGTGCCGGGTTTTACGAGACTGTTGCGTTGGCATCGTTCATCTGTTCCCTACAATTTCTGCTTCTATCGGCTTCTCTCCTTCTGAGCTCAAATGCTTTTCCATAACCCTCGTCATTTGGTCTTCCTAGTTCGTCCTCTGTTGCAAAGGTCAAAGCTTCTTCCATTCCTTAGAGTTCGAACACAACGCTTCTTTTCCCATTCGGCACAATCATGGCTATCTATGCCGGGTAACTCTATCATCGATTGGCCGTCACTACCAATCCAAGAACGCAACCCTGACCCGAACCCGAAATCGAATGCAGGCTCTAACTTCTCGCGGGATGATTTTTCCACCATTGCCACTCTCTTTGCCGATCCTTCTATCTCTCCGGGTCCAGCTCTGGATAATGCACTTGATCGGGCAGGAATTGAGCCGGATCCGACTCTGCTGCAAGCGGTAATCAATCATTTCGATTCTTCCCCCAAGTTACTCCACACGCTGTTTCTTTGGGCTCAGAAGCGACCAGAGTTCCAGCCCAGTGTGACGCTTTTCAACTCTATGATCAACGTTCTTGCCAAATCGAGGGAGTTTGATTCCGCTTGGATTTTGCTTCTTGAACGGATTGATAGCCACGAGGAAGCCATCTTCGTTTCCGGAGATACCTTTGCTATAATGATCAGACGTTACGCACTTGCAGGTAACATTCCATTTCAGAATTGTTCAAATGTAAATTTAGGCCGTATCGGACGTTTACTATCGTGTTTTTGTGTCATCGATTTAAGTTGCAACTGACTTTGTAGTCTTGCATTTTTCTTTTACACGTGTTCTTAGAAAATTCGAATTCGAATATGCCTGTAATCTATATCTTCATTGCGAAGCATAATCTAGTTTTTAAAATAGTTTGTATTTTCCAAATTATTCTTCTTCATGTTGTCACTTGTCTGTGTGGGGAAATTGGATGATGAGAGTGCTCTATTGTTGCTTGATCCAGCATAAGTTTGATTAATTAGAATTCCATATTTAACGACATATTTCAGGCATGTCACAATCTGCAATTCGAACATTTGAGTATGCTAGAAATTTAAAGCCAATTCTGGATTCGAACTCAGAAATGAGATTGTTTGAGATATTGTTGGATTCCCTTTGTAAAGAAGGGTCTGTCAGAGCAGCTTCAGAGTATTTCCTACGGAGGAAGAAGATGGACCCATTATGGGTCCCATCAGTTCGGATATATAATATTATGCTAAATGGATGGTTTAGATCAAGGAAACTCAAACATGCAGAGAGATTTTGGGCAGAGATGAAGAAGGAGAATGTAAGACCAAGTGTGGTGACTTATGGCACCCTTGTGGAAGGATATTGCCGGATGCGTCGTCTTGAAAAGGCCATTGAATTGGTTAGTTCTATGACCAAACAAGGAATTGAACCAAATGCAATTGTTTATAATCCAATAATCGATGCATTAGCAGAGGCTGGGAGATTCAGAGAGGCTTTGGGGATGCTGGAGCGCTTTCTTGTTTTAGAAACTGGCCCAACTAGCTCAACTTACAATTCTTTGGTGAAGGGATTTTGCAAGGCAGGAGATCTTGTTGGTGCCAGTAAGATTCTTAAGATGATGATAAGTAGGGATTTCATGCCCAGTCCCACCACCTATAACTACTTCTTTAGGTACTTCTCAAGATGTGGGAAAGTTGATGAGGGTATGAACCTTTATACCAAGATGATTGAATCTGGTTATACCCCTGATCGGCTTACTTATCATCTTTTACTGAAGATGTTATGTGAAGAGGGGAAGCTGAACTTAGCAGTTCAAGTCAGTAAGGAAATGAGGCACAAGGGATATGACATGGACCTCGCCACATGTACTATGTTGGTTCATTTGCTTTGCAAAATGCATAGGTTGGAAGAGGCTTTTGCAGAGTTTGAGAACATGATACGGAGGGGTATAGTTCCACAGTATCTCACATTTCAGAGAATGAACAATGCATTAAAGAAGCGAGGGATGATTGAAATGGCACGGAAACTATGCAGCTTGATGTCTTCTGTCCCTCATTCTACTAATTTGCCAAACTCATATGTTGAAGACATAGATGAAGCACATGCCCGGAGACAATCTATAATGCAGAAAGCCAAAGCATTTTCTGATATGCTGAAAAACATCAAGGACCCCAGAGAACTTGCCCAATGTGGAAGCTCATCAGAAAATGCTGTCTGCAGCGCTGAATGTTTGATGGATAATATTAAGAAGAGGATAAAGAAGCCATGAAGGGTTATTTTCTGCTATCTGATTACCAGCAGGAGCAGTAACAGTAACAGACAGTTTGAATATTTGTGAATCAGTTCACATTTATTCCACACAAGAGAATTAGGTACCTTCTCAATATATGTTCTACTCTAGCCATCCTGTTGTTAGTCAGTGGGTCAATAAACCGTTTCATGCTATTTGTTAACAACAGCATGTGCAAAAATGCAAACTCAGTGGTCTATGCGCGGCACAGAGTTTAATGGGAGCTAAATAGTGTCAGTTTACTGGCGGATTTGGCAGAGAATGAAGTTAAACGGGTCAGGATTTAGAGCGATGGATTATCCTGATAGGGCGATCTTCCTGGTTTTTCTTTCAACAAATGTAGGTAATTTGCTGCTGGGCCTGAGACTGGAGCTGGAGTTGGGAGAGCTCAACATCATCCGGACGGATAATTGCTGGTCAGTTTTCTCCAGATTTCACAGTACGTTGGAGTTCGTCATCGGAGTTCGCGGTAAGTTGCTTCGCTTACTTGTGTTTCATTTTAAGGTTGACTAAAATGCCAGTAATCTTTTGATGGATCAATGGAGAAGGCTCTCTAAGTAATGTATTGGCTATTTTATGTGCCCCTTCATGTTAAATGCTGATTTCTTTTTTTCTTTCTTTTTTTTTTAAAATGGAAATGGAGAATCACATTATAAACTTCTGGTTTTTTCCCTTTTGGTATATTCTTATTCCAGTGCAAAATTATATTAGGCGGATGGACTTTGTGAATCATGATCAGTTATTTTAATATATTCAGGGGTTTGGGAATTTTTTATTGAGCCGGAACAGTTGCTTTCAGCTTTGGGGCGGACCAACAAGTGAAGCTCTCTATTTGGAGGAAAGTCGCTGCACCATTGGTCTCCCATGGTCTGCTCAGTGAGGGATGATGGCATATAGTTTATTCAGGTCGGGACAACTAAACAGCAATTAAATTTAATTATTTTGAATTTATTTTTTATTTATCTTATTACATAACTGGGGCGGTCCTAGTGCAGAGCAATTTGGTGAAGTTTTTTATGTGATTTTCGTGGGGAAGAGTGCTTGGAGCCTCTATTATTAATTTATTTTGTTCGAAGAATAATCCTTCTTTGTCATAGCGGGTTCTATTAATCGGCTATAACCTAGAGAGGCCATCTATGTTCTAGATGTATTTTTGGCAAAGCACGAATTACTACAAATTAGCGGGCCGTTGGTGTCTATATCGCCATCTACATTGAGTCATGAAATGGCTTTTCATTATTAATATTGATTTTTTTACCAACAACATTATCAATATCTTTTTTGCATAGAACAACAATATTAATATCGATGTTATGCTTGGGGACCGTGACTTATGTGTAACTTTTTTTTTTTTTGGACCAACCACCAAGAATATTTTTTTCTTTTAAAAAATAAATGATTGAGATTATAAATTTAGGAAAGCATTTGGTGGCAATAAGTCAACCTAGGAATGGGATGTTTGTTGAATTTGGGAAATTGTAGTACATTTAATTAAAATATTTTAAATAATCTGAATAAAATCTTGTACGAGACTTTTTTAATTGATTTTATTCTTATAACGTAAAGCAAAATTAATTTCTTGTCTTATCTCTATTTACTATCATTAATATTAAAATTAATTTATATTTAATACAATATAAATGTTATGTTTTTATTGGATAAATTATAAATGACACGGTGTATTTGATCTATTTAAGAATTTCTTATCAAATCATACTCTCAAGCAATGTTTTTAAAACTAGATTGGATATTAAATTAGGAAGGTAAGCAAGTCACGGATCATATGGTTTAACTGAGTTGGATCAATAGTCAAACCATGTAATAATTAAATTAAAAAATTATATATATATATATATAATAATTTAAATATAAGAAATAAATATGAAATTATTATATAATTTAAAAATAAAATAAAATATTTTAAGTTTATCATGATTTAACAAATCATATGATATAACATAACATCAAATGATTAAACAAATTTGTCATTCTTTTAAAAAAATTTGATTAAAAACAAAAAAAATTTGAACAGTCTAGCTTTTCAAAATCAGATTCAGTTCTCAACTTGATTTCAATTTTTGATCTAACTATTGATGTAAAACAACCCAACCCAGCTCAACTACTAAAATAATTTTTACAAAGGTCGAAATAACCATCCAGTTCGATTTAATTTTTTAATCATTGCTCTCAAGCTTCTAGATTGTTATAAGTGATACCTTTTAAAGAAGACTTGTATACTTAATTTTCTATATTTAATAAGTTTTTGTTCAATCAAATTAAAACAAATGACTTTTAAAATGTTAATAATATTAATGAAAAGAGCTCATTGTAAAATAAAAAAGTCTACAAGAAAATTTATGTACCTGAAATTGATTAATAACATGTTTGGATTATATTTTAACTGAGTTTCGGATAGTTCAAATGTTTAAAGTCCATTGCAAAATTAAAATTCTTGTTTAGATTAAAAAAAAAAAAGTGGACGGGCATTGGGCCAAAAGAACATTTTCAAGAAGTCAAGTCTTGGAGCTTTTTAACGCAATGCTAGACTCTCTCTTTCCTTTATTCTCTCACCTCACCCAATACTTGTTACTCTTTGCATTGTCTTCACTTCAAGCGTGCACCAGTCCAGACTTCGTCGCTCATCTTCCTTGGTCAGTGTTGCTTGCCATCCAGACTACACTGTCCTTCTTCTTGCTTTGAGATTGTGTAGCCAAATTTGCATTCTTCTGGTTGCCAAATTTGCTCGTTTTCGCCGGATGTTTTTCGTTGGATAGAGTAGAGAGAGGAGGAAGGGGATGAATTCTTGAGTCTAACTGTTTAGGACTTGTTTGGTTTTTGTTCTTATTTTTTATTTTTAAAAAATGTTTTATAATATAGCTTTTAAAATTATTTTTTAAAACAAAACAAAATAAAAATTCATTTGATTATATTAATTTAAAAGAGTTTTAGAATTAAAGAATAAATTGATAGTGATGATTATAGGTGGTTAATGATGATGATTTATGATAAAAATTGATCAGCATAATTATACATTTCAATAATCAAATGTAATATATTTAAAAAAAATTAAAAAATAAAACAAAAACAATTTAAATTTTTTTTTATTTTTTTGATTTTTAAAACCAAAAAATGAAAACAGTTTTGCAAACATGCAAATAGAAAACACTTAATCAAACAAATTTTTAAAATTTTTTTATTTTCAAAAACAAAAAACAGTTTTTAAAAATAGAAAATAAACATGCTCCTAATTTTTCTTCCGTTTTTTTTTTATTTTTCTCTTGCCAAGAGAGAAAATATACCTTGATTTGATTCACTGGGGACCAATTGAAGCTGTTAACTTTATTTTTTATTAAAAAAAACAAAACATTTAAACTAGACACCTAGCCGAAAACAAAAGCTTTCAAAAAACATATTTTTTCGATAGTTTTCAATGTTTAAAGATTCTAACTAGTATATGATTGGCAAGAAAGCACGAAAATGTAAAAGAAGAACTTTTTTTTTGGAAATAGTTTATAGAAAATATCAAAATAAGCTTGATGAAAATATAGATTCTTTTTTAAAAAATTATAACTTAAATTTCAATATTTTTAAAAAGGTACTAATTTATTAAAAAAATATTTTTCAAAAAATTCATGCTCTTTTATACATTATACATGAGAGTTTATTTTCTTTCAAAAAAATATTAAAAATATATATCATAAAATTCATTTTCTTTTTTTTATCAGTATACATTTAAATTGATTTTTGAATCAATTTATCTAAATAAATGTTAATTATATTTTCTTATATTTGTAACTTCTTTTTTAAAAAATTGTAACTTTTAGATTAATATTTTCCCCTAAAAATGTCAAATTAGTCACGAAAATGTATACAAGAAAACTCATATTTATTTTTATCATTATATATCTCAGTTAGCTTTTAATTTAAATTATTTAAATAAGTTTTAGTTTGCCTAAATAACTTTTAAAAGAAAAGATATTTAAATATAAATTATGTTAAAATCACATATTTTTTTAACTTTAGTTTGTTAATTTTAGTTACAATTTTTTTAATAAATCAATTATAAATTTTTTAATCTAAACACACACCAAGTTAAATAAATAATTTTTTTAATCTCAATTATAAGCAAAAAAAAAATCAAATTTCCTTCATCTTAATTATAAACAGAACTACCCAAATTTATATGCACTTGATGACATTTTCATTTTTGCCCCTCATTCAAAATTCAAAATAGTAATAGTTAAAATATATACTTAATCTTTTAGCTTCATACAACATTTGATTTTACTCTTTTAACTTTGTAAAGTTAATTTTATCCCAAAAAATTTTTACATTAAACTTTTAAATATTAACAATAATATTAAATACTGATATATTAAGTTTACTTTTTTCAAAGTAACAATAATTGATGCAAAAAAGAATCATTTGACACTAACGATATTATGATTGAAGAACTAAAAAAATATTTTATAAAATTAAACGATTAAATTAAAAATTTATATAAAATTAAAAGATTAAAACTATACTTTAATTGTGTAATTCTAACAAAATGATTATAACTTACAGGGCTATTTGAAAAATAATCAATTTCAAATATAGTTAATAATAAGAAATAACTTTTTTAATAATTGTGACACAGTTTTAAATGCTCATAGATATATTTACCGCCAGGCAATGAAAAATAACAATGCACCTCCTATTATTTTAAATATGAGAAAAATTATCATGTATTTTTTATTTTTATTTATAAATAAGATTATGAATTTTAAGAAGCATTTATTACTTTTTTTTGAAGTTGTTCATCACAAACTCAATATATATTCTCATTAGACCAATTTATTTAATTTATTATAGAGATAGTTTAGTTCAATTTTTTTAATTTTAAACACAACTATGATAGTTAACCAATCTCTCTAATCAGTATAAATTTATTTTTTTCTTATATTTAAAAATAGAAGGAGTATAATTATATATATTCTCTCAATTCAAAATATAAGTAGTTTAAAAAAAATTAACTGGTCAACATAGTTTCAATTCTCATGAAAATATATATTATTATTTTTTACTCTTAGTTTCAATCATCAATGCATTTCATGAGAAGAAAGAGATAATTTTATACAGATATTTAGATTAAAAAGTACAGATGATAAAATTGAGAAATTTTTTACATGTATTAAATTATTTATATTTTGAATTAAAATTATTTAAAAAATGCTAATATTTTAGACAAGAGGGAGTAACTTTTTAAAATAAACATGAGAATGGTGATGAATCATGCATATTATTTTAAATCAAGAAGGAATAATTTAATTCGTCTATATAACTCATGAAGTATTTATCTTTTATTTTTATTAAAGTATTTCCTTTTATCTCGTTTTTAAATTAAATTTTAAATTATTTATTTGATCTCATTTATAAATTATAATATAATTTTTTAAGAATATTTGATATATATTTTTAAAATTATTTTTAATGAAATAAAAAAAATAATATGATATTACTTTTTAAATTTATTATATAAAGATATATTTAAAATTTATATACTTTTATTTTTTATATTAATATTAATAAAATTGATAAAAATAATTCATAAAAAAAATTTAGAAGTATTGTTTATCTTTCACCCCTGGTAAGAAGAAGTGACAAGAAAATTTGCCGGAGCCACATTACGCGAAGTTATTCAATCTGCCATAACATTTACTACTGCGATATGATAGGGTAAATACAGAATTCAGAATACAGAGAACAGTCTATTAAACAAAGCGGATGAAATGGACAGACGACTTTTTGCTTTTATTGCTTTCATTCTCTACCTCAAGGGGACCCTGATTCCTCCTTTTATTTTGCCCCTTTCTTTTACCTTTCGTAGAGATCGTGCTCTGCTCTGCTTTGCTCTCACTCTTCCCGTATGTGTGTGAGTGTGGGTGTGGAGTAGCAGCATCTTAGCTATGCTGAGCAAGATGGGTACCGGATGGCCATGCTGAGAATGGCACAGCATAACAATGGCAATCACAGTTCGAGCCAACAGTCAGTAAAAGCAGTCTTTCATGACTTTATGGGCATGAAGCCCACTGATTCTCCCATCGTTGCGGCCCCTAAAACCGCTGGTGCGAATCCGTCGGAGGCGTCGCCATCGTCGGTATCGGTCTCTGTTGGCGCCTCTTCCGGTGGTGCTCGTGGTCCCCTATCAACCACCTCCGATATCGCTTCCGGTGAGTGAACATGCGATCTTCGTCTGGCCTTGTAAAAGAAAAAAAAAAAAAATGGCCCATTGGCATGCTAAATTATACCCACGTACTACATGCATTTACTCTTTCTCAAGCATTTTGAAGGGCGGACTCTGCTTGAAATTTCAGTAGAAGCGCTGGGCACTTGAGATTTGTTTTCTGTATCGACTCTCCTCCACTGATGGACTGTACTCTCTGCCCCTGCTCTCTCTCGCACTATTTCGTTGTGGTTTATCTTCTGGTTGATTTGTTTAGCGAGATAAATATTATTAGGTTAGGTGGGTTCGGTTGGTTTTCGTCAACTCTGCATTCCCCTCTTTTTGTGTTTCATCTAGCTTTACTTTCTTTTCTTAAACAGTATATTCTTACTTTTTTCATTCTCAATCATTTATCTACTATTTTAGTTAGTAGGATAACTTACTTGTAAATACACTGTCGGAGCTGCATTCACTGCAGATGGTTAGAGACTCTTCAATTCAATCACTTTTTTGTTTACCTATTGAGGATAGCGGAAAGTCAGAAATTGAATGCTTATGTAGAATCTCTATGACTTGAACTGGTTTTTTGGTCATTGACATGCTTTCCAATGCCTGCGCATTTGTTAATGATGATATTTAATCCCCCTGATTTTTGTGTCATTAGATCGTCTTTTGCACTGGTTTTTCATTGTGCAAAATGGACGCTCTTAGTGCTTAGTTGTGCGAAGTATTTTCGGAAGCTTCTGTGTCTTGTATGGGTCTTACATGTGTCGACATTGACTTCAATGCTTAATTTCCCTCTTCCATTTGATAGAAAGACAGTTAGGAAATCACCTCGAGGGAGTCCCATTCTATTGCCCGAGGAGCGATCTTTCTGGCACTGAGATTAGTAACAGAATAGTAGGAAACAAGAGAAGTAATTCTGATTCCAGTTTTATGAGTTCCTCCAGAGATGCCTTCCAAATGGTTCCTGACTCTCTTCAAAATTTGCATTTGATGAAGGTGTGAACTATCAGATGGTCCTGTTCTCCTATAATCACATTTTATGACAGCTGAAAAATTGTTTTGCTCTTATCTCTCCTTTTAATTATTTTTTAGTTCTGCTTATTATATACAGATCCTCCGGAATGCAGCTGGAGGAGAGCAGCTTAGAAGGTCTAATGATGATTATGTGTTTCTTGGTATGCAGTCAAGGAAGCCAACTGTTGCTTCTCACATATATCAGCCTTCCATGGGCAGCAAGACTGATGTCAATAAATGGGACCGATCTATTCTCATGAATACTGGCTCTTCCATGCAACATCCCCCACATGGGGGTCAATTAGCATCTTTTGTGCACCAGATACCTTCTAACAAGAGCAGGGATGCTAATACTGGTCCTTCGTTTATTTCTCAATCTGCTGCTGATGAGGGATCTAGGACAGGAATGAAGAGCCCTGGGATCTTGAGCTCTATGAACACCACCACTGCTGCTTACGAGAAAACTCTGTCTGCACCTGGCAGAAGCAGGTCAAAGCCAGTGACTGGTTTAATAGACCCAGAATCTTCCATGCCTCCAAGGTAGCTTTTATAAACAACTGTTTATGCCCTCTGCACTTTCCTCCTATTTACTTTAAAAAGGAGGCTGGATGTTTATGTGTTTTCTGGTATTGATTGCAGTCAACAAGGGTTAGCATCTGCCAGCTGCCAGATGACTATTTTTTATGGAGGTCAAGCTCACGTTTTTGATAATGTACACCCCAATAAGGTTAGGTATTTTGTTGTTAGCAATATATATATATACTTACTGCATTTAATGTTACATGATCTATGAAAAGGTTTATAATTTTAATCGTAATAGGAAAAATGTGCTTTGTAATTTACTCAGATCCATCTCTGTGAGCGTTTTTTCCTCTATTAGTGAAATATTGAAGGCAACAGTATCTTTTGAGCACCAAAGCATGAAAAGGTTTGAGCTCTGTGAGGAAACTGGTGTCATGGTATTGTTGACATGACTATACTTAGCTAATTTATGCACCATGATGCCTGTGCTGAGTATACAACTGCTGCTTAAGGAAGATAGGGCACCTGATATTGCACTTGCTTAGTATTTCATACCAATTTAATATTACCATTATAAATTGTTATTTAACTCATTACATATTTTTGGTTACCACCTGCATTAGGTGATTTTTTTTTTTAAAAAGCAACTGAATATATGTCTTGCCGTACACTTGCATACAGAAAATGTCCTTCTGGCCTAGGACAATAAGAACAAATTCACTTATTTGAATGGAGCAGAACTTTTGCAAATGGACTTGATTTCTCAAGCTGTTTGCAACAAACTTTAAGTTGTCAAGAGAACTTTGGGGCCTAGTTTTGACTGTAGTTGGACTCGAAGCTGATCTTCCAAAAAGAAGTTAAAGCATTTAAGTCCTTATGCTATTTTATTATGGCTGAAGCATAGATGTACTATGTGAATTGGAGAAAGTCCAGTGGTCTCTGTATCTGGATTTTGGTGATAATTCTTAGTGAGAGATGGGTGAGCGTTTATATGCTCATTCTCCTGAAATGATAAGCTAACAGATATCAAATGTTTGGTGATTTTGCTTAAATTATGTTTAGCTTTTTGTATGTTGGTCATGTCTTTTCATTTACATTTTGTCATTGACGTCAATGTGTTTACTGATTTGGCAGCATAAGGTGTTCTGGAGTGCTACCTTTTATTTAGTTGTTTCACCATAGATCTGTTTGGACATTGCTACGGACTTGTGACATGGCATGTCTGTTCACTTGCATTGACTTTTAAGGATATTAGACCATAGTTGTTGTCGCGTGTTTAAACAGGCGAGAATTATAAATTTGGCACCATGTTAATTTAGGCAAGATATATCTCACAGTTTGGAATCGCATAAGGTAATTTATGAAGGTAGTAGCAGGTGTTATATGCTGTACCAAGATGCTTGGATGCAAAGCATACTGTAAGTAGGGGAAAAAGAAAAATTTGTTTGCTGAACCTCCATCATTCTTTCTCTCTAGTAGCAAATTCAGTTAAAAACTAGAAATAAGGTCTGCTTGCTTGTCCAAAAGAAAAAGAAATTGTTAGTTCAGGAAGTTTTTAGAGCTTGAAGAAAGTTACCTTTTTGGGATAATGAACTATTGGGAACAATTTTGGATAACTGATCAGAGGTTTGTGGCTCCAAATTTTTCCCAATTGATCATGGCTACATTAAGGCAGCTTTATTACCTTCCTCCTATTTTTCTGTGGATTTCTTAGTGGCAGTTTGATACCCATGATTTTTTGTATTGTTTCAATATTTCCAATGCATAGGCTTGCTGTGTATCTCCCGACAAGTATCAGCAGAACGCACTGTTTCTTGCAACGCATGCACCACAGATGATTTTTCTGCTGCTCAATATTTAGTTCACTGACAGAATTTCGTGACATCTTTGACAGAGATATCTGGAGTAGCATTTGTTTCTTTCTTCAACATCACCTTTTGCCTTGCTTCTTCATGCCTCACTTAAGTGAAGGCTTCAATGGTTGAAGGAATGGTATTTTGAGCTAGTATCCTTCCACTAACATCATTGAGACTTATTCAAGCCAACCCGAAATTCATACCTTTTTTTCTTTCTCCATCCCTATCTTGGAAGGAATACAACATTCATGAACTTTCCACTCCTCATAGTTTGCCTCAGGTTCCAGCCAAGCCTTCATTTCCACATAATAGTCATTCACATCTCTCACCTTGTTTCATTTGCCACAACAACTTAGTGTTGTTTTTGAAGACTTGTGAGGTGTTGTCTCCATCAGAAAAAGCTTTACACACAGATGCCCAGACATCTTCTGTGGTGCCAGGAACATGAAGGTGTGATAGATTGAAGGTACCATTAAATTTGCAAACCATGATGCAACCGGCAAGTTCTCCTGTTTGCCAACACAGATAGGCAGCAGCGTGACTCAGTCAGTCATTCTGGCTGCTTGAGCTTTGCTGGTAAGGTATCCCATCTTATCCCTGCCTTTGATGGCAAGCCTCTTGGCTCGAACCCATTCACAACATTTCTTCTCGTCTAACTTCTTGGCTGCAAGTTGGAAGGTGGAGCTGTCCAGACCGGAACCCAGAGTGTATATGGTTTCAGTTGGCCTCGCACTTGACTCCTTAATCAACTTGCTATCAGATGTATCCCCCATTTTCAGTGAGCGTGATTCTAGTTGGATCTGTTCTCTAATGCCATGTGGGTTTATAGAGTTGGAAGATGAATCTTTATTCTTTATGTATTCCACTGGACACAGGGATTCACATATATACACCGAGAGAACAAAAAATCAGTGGCTAAATCCCTTAATAATCAGCAATATAATCCAATACATCAGATCAGCACAATGCTGGGATCCTGATATAATTAGAGGTGACTAGTCCCTGATTATAGGGATTTCTGTAGAAATCTGCTTGCAATGCATTGAAATGCTGATTGTATTTTCTTTGGCACTGCTTAATAACTCTGAAATGTCAACTGTTAACCATGCCCATGTGTTGCCGATTCTTGAATTGACTTGACTTTGCAATAGTTCTCGCGCTCGAATTTTGTGAATTGATTCCTTTTGCCCTTTGATGTCTGGTAAAGGCAGTTGCAGAAGGTTTTGATTGGCTCCTTATCTTGAGCTTTTGCGATGCATAATCATAATTTTATGTTCATTGTTTAAAAGTTCTTGGACTTTGTATGTATTTGTTTAAATGTATTAAAAATTGCAATTTATATATAATTATGGTCCATTATGCGACCCGTTTTTGGTAAATTATTCTGCTTTACAGGAAGTCTTGGGTAATTTTACTTGATACCCATTATCTCCCTGTGTACTTAGCCATTTTTGTTGATATCATTCATCTCACTTGGCCTTTCACTCGTGTTAGTCGAGCCTTCAAAATTTCAGCATAAAAGTTTAAACGTAACAGCATTTAATGAATTTAGTCCTTCCCAGATAGGCAGAATTGTTGCGTGTTCATATTGTATGACTTGTGCAGGCAGAAATTATAATGGCTTTAGCTGGGTCAAATGGGGGATGTTGGTCCACAACATACTCCCCAAAACCTGCTGTGAAGCTCACTAATGACAGTAACAGGTTGTGTGGGGATAGTGAAACTGGTACAGTGAGTAAGATCACACCCCCACAGGAGCCTCATGGCAGAATATCTTTCGCGGGTGCTTCTAGTCTTGCCATCAAATCTGGCGATCGATTGTCTACTCAAGCAGGTAACTCTTCAAACACAATCTTTCTTCTTGTCTTTTGCCTTTTAAACTGTCCAATTTGTTTGTGATTGGTAAAAAATGGTTGTAGGGGCACGTCAGGGAAGCGTTGCAGCCAATGAAGATGTCAGGAATTCAGTTAAAGCAGCAGATCCCCGTTGTGAGGACAAAAGGACGCAATCACATTGAATCTGAGTCTATACTCTGTAACTGTTGTCGGTACCCATTGATTATAAGCCCTGAGGAGAACAGAGATTGCTCGTATTCTGAATACTGTCTTGATTTTGTTAGACTGCTCTTACTCTGAAATGTTGGTTTAGTATATTGATCGGCGAGAGTACGATGGCAATCCAATGATAGTTTAAATGGGCTCAACAGCCATATCAGATTCACTCTCAGGTAAAACTTACGTAGTCGATGATATCTGAATCTTGAGGTTCCCAAGACCTCCTTTGCCATTTTTCCATTGCTGTGAAAAATTGGTGCAGTCAATAGTTATATAAAAGTATATTAAGTTATACTATTCATAGGTTATGTTCTCATGTTTAATCCAACTAGCATTTACTCCCCTTCTGACGCACGGGAAGCATGGTGCTTTAGGAATTGAGCACGATGCATATTCTCAAAGCCAGGTTGTAATCACCATTTCATAAGCAATAGCCTACTTTAAGTTTGCAACCATAACTCATGTATTGGCATTGATTCCCATTAAGTGTCATTAAGTAAATCATCCCATACACGATATTCAAAGAATTCAATGGCAGACTAAAGATGCGGTACATGAAGGTGCAAGTTGGGGATTCAGTTTCAATCTAATTCATGAAATATCTCCTTGTACACAACATTTGAGGTTGTAGACTTGGGCAAGTTGTACTTGTCGTGTGTCAAAATCTTCAAGCTTTCGATGCTCCTAACTCAAGAAATTGCAACATATAATTGCTCATATGTGAATATTGGTTTTGGCATGTATAGACTTACATGATGAAGAGATTGACCTTAACTCTTGTTAATTGTCATGGCAAATAAAAAATTAATAAGGAATTGTCTTATTTGCATTCGAAATGACTGCCTATTTTTGGAAGGATTCATATCTATTCGATGCATGAGTATTTTTTTTCATATGTTATGGCTTTAATGACACTTGTCCCAAATCTAGTTATCCTTGACCTACTATTGTGTCATCTCGAAGTTTGGTCAACGTTTTTTTTTTTAAAGAATTATTGGTGTATCAATTTTCAAGATTAACTTGTGTAAAGGTAACCTTGCCCTTATAATGGTATTTAAAAATTTAGTAAAATACAAGTCATCAAAGCTATTTACATTTTGTGTTGATTTGTAAATTATATCACAACTCAAGAATTCAGTTGGTTTATCAGGTAACAAAGAACATAGATAATATTCATGTTATTAATTGTTTGAATAGTAAGTGCAAGCATTGCTCTCTCATTGAAGTATGTATTGTTTAGTAAGTTATCTAATAAATTTGTATATATTGCATTTACAATTGCATGCAATGGATTAACGAATTTTGTTATTAGGGGTTAATATCAATTTTAGCTCTTCCGTCATGTGGTAAGCCTAAATTTTGGGTACCAACATCTAATAGTCATTTTGAAAAATTTCTTATCTTGATGTCATCTATTTGCAATGACTTTGGAGGTTGCTTAAATTTTTATTTTGAAGCCGTCGCCAACATTTGTAGTATTTTTTTTTAACTTGATTTGTCATTTATTTTGAAGTTTAAATTTCTGTTACCAACATCTAATAACCATTTTAAAAAATTTCTTAGGTCACTCAAAAAGGAAAAAAAAAACATATTGGATATAATTTTTATTTTCAGTCTTATTTTGATTAAAAAAATCCTAATACCCTTTAAAAAGAACTTGCTTAAATTTTATTCTTGACATTTCCATGTCCATTGACCATTATTGATGCAAGCTCATGTAGCTCGAATGCCGGCTGAAGCTCTCTCTGGACAAACCTGAGCATAATTAAGTGTTTATTATTAAATTCTATGATAACATGGTCATGTTGATCCTTTCCCCTTTATTATTGGATATTGTAGTATTTGGTTCCGTGATGGAAAGACGGAAGAGAAGACAGTGGGTGTCGACATAATTAAATATGAACTTCGCCTTTTATATAATTAAATATAATTGACATATTTAAACATATTTAATCTTTGATTCTCTTTGCCAAATTATTAATTTAAATTCAATAACTGTATTTAATAGCCAAATATTCATCATGAACTGTTAAAATTTAAATTAATAGTTCTAAATTTATATTCTATTTGAGATTAATTAATGAGTTAATTTATTTAAATTGTTAATCTGAATTTTAACAACTCAAATGATACAGGTGTTTAATACCTAAGTACCGTCATTAAATTCAAATCCAATCATCATGGGCTTTGCTTCTCCATTCCACATTTAGTGAAATATAATAGCTTTAAAATTAAGTTTACAAATTCTAATCTAAACACATGCTAAGACCTTGGATTTATGAAGTTGAGATTCCATTTTATGTGAAGGAGAGGAACAGAGAGTCGGTACCGACGTACTTCTACTTTCCTTATGACTTTGAATTTAAGCTTAAAATATGCACACCATTGATGATTTTGATAATGAATTTTATTTGACTTTGTAATTGCTTTCATTCATTTAAATATAATTCTTTCAGGAACCACCGACTATCGTTTGCGTTTTACACTCCCAGCATTCCCCATTTGCTCTTACATTCTCATTACGTTTAATTATTTGTGCCTAGAGTGACATCAAATAATGGGGGAAAAAAACAGAGAAAAAGAAAGAAACAGTGATTTTGTTGGTGAAATAACAAAAATAATTACTGTTAAATAATAAAATATGATAAATACTTACATCTTGATTTTTGTGTAAATAAAAAAAATACCACTTCAAACCACTACAATCAGTGGAAAGAAGTTTTAAAAAAATACAATGTGGGTGCCACTGATTTAGCCTATTTTTTTTAATTATTATTTCATCTTTTTGAAAGGCAATAGCATCTCCTAAGGGTTTGGGTTGACAAAATTAAGTCGGTAAATTTATAGTTCTACGAAGTACTGGAGTATTTTTAGTGGTTGTGTTGGACCAAAACAAAGTTGTGTTTTATTATTCATGTGCTTATTTATTAATTTTTTCATGTAGAATTTTCTTACAGAATCACGTCAATATATTCAAAAAGCTATCTATAAACTTTTCAATATATATATATATATATATATTCTGTGCCCATGCAATCTCAATTTCAAACTTTCAGGCAGTTGTATATATCAAAAAAATTCAGTCTTGTAATCATAGAGCACCTCCTAATTTCTACATTCAGAGTCTAATTAAAGGAACATCTTTGATGCGTTTCATACATGTGAAAACATATGATCTGCCACAAAAAGGAATCATCTTTCCTCGCATTTCCACGATAATGGTCAACTTTGATAGGTTACGGAATTATCATATTAGGTTCCTCCGCTTGTACTTCTTTTTTCTTATATATATATATATATAATTTTTTGAAATATATATCTTTCGATCTCTTTTTAAACTAGAAGTTACATTGCGTATTGGTCTAATTTATAATTTTCAAAATTAAAACGCCTTCCTTCAATAGAGCTGCTGATAAAATATCCTAATATTTAGGTGAAGAAAAATTTGCCATTGTATTTGTTCATGAATAAATAATGAATAAATTAAAGCATAATTTAATGTAACGAAAACAAATTATTTTTATATAACTATCTTATATTAAATACTACATCTGTCTTATTAAACTTTGCATTTTTATTTTCATTTGTATGAAACAATGTAGTCTTTAAATTGGTAAAGGATACTTTAATTAGAATATTAAAATTACACGAAAGAATGAAGCTGGAAATAAAAGGGGGGAAAATCTATCTAGTTTTAGTCAAACATGGAAAACTAGTCAAACATGGAAAATGAGAGTGCGATTAATGCTTAATATTTTAATTCATAATGCACAACTTTGAACAATAATTTGAAATTCTTTGTCTCGATCCATCATTCATTACTTGACTAGAGTCTCACGACGTATATATATTTCCCTCGTTCAAATAATTTCGCTTTCCATCTTTTAGACCTGCAGAAAAAGCTCTGCACAAATCTTGTCGACCTGAAACTCCTACACATTATTCAACCACAAATGTCTGTCATTTTATGTTATTATCACACACGTTTTCATACCCATTATGCATACAAGAAAAGACTATAATAATCACATTATTCATTATTCATTATTCATAACTCATAAATAATATCGAATTTTTAATAAATTTAATATTACATGTTACATATTGATATGATATAAATATAATATAACCCCTTAAAGCATTTCCACTTCAACTTTTTACCAGTCTTTTTAAGACTATCTCATGCAAAAAATCTTCTCTGCCAGAGGCAGCCTTCAATAATATATTCAATTATATAAAAAATATGGTCCACTCACATAATTTTCCAAGATTTCCCCAGATCTCTGTGACTTTTCCAAGCACAGATCCATGATCATCAAATTGTTCAAAAATATATACACGGAACAAATCCTTCCAAAATTTTGAGTTTTAGCACATGTCCAGAGATCGTGACCTCGCGTGCGTTACAGGTTAGCATATGGGAAGAACAAATGGATTTTTTTAACATCGAACACTTGTAAGTTTTCTGTCCCATATAGACTGATCTCATGGATCAGGCTGTACTCTAAATCTAATTAACCTATTAATTAATCTTCCTTCGATACCATCCCTCACCTATTTTTTTATTTTCTCTCTGCTAGAAGACAAAGCTCGGCCAAATTGCATTGTGTCCGCAAAAGCGAAAAGAAAAACAAAAGCGATCCCATATCATTTTCTTTTGTTGCCCCGAAAGCCCTCATCATGGAAAAAAGAAACAAGTCTTTGAGATGCCACACAACTTTTCTGAATCGTTTGTTCGTGCTTTTGTCTTATTCAAACTTTGCTCTCTTCCAAAACCATAAACCGACACCACAAATTCCAAATAGCCAACCTCACCCAACGATATCATTTTAACCTAATCCCCCCCTCCATACATACATACATACATACATACATACATGTTTAATCAATAAACGCACATATAAATATATTATATCGTACTTGAAGCTCTAATCAATTAATCTATCAATCTAGCCAAGCTAGAAAGATGGCTAGTACTCTGTCTGAAGCGTATAGAGACCACCCGCAATATCTTCATCATATTATACCCATAGACTTTTCTTCAGTCCGGAGCCTACCCGATTCCCATGCATGGCCTCAAACTATGGACGGTGCTGGCCGTTGCTCGGCGGATGACGACGATGAGGAAGGATCCGGGTTGTCGATACCCGTGATCGATCTGATGGATCCGAATGCCGTGGAGCAGATAGGGTTCGCATGTGAGGAGTGGGGTGTCTTCCAATTGAAGAACCATGGGGTAGGGTTGAGTCTTCTGGAAGAGGTAGAGGCAGAGGCAAAGCGACTCTTTGCCCTGCCGGCGAATCAAAAGCTAAAGGCCTTGAGATCGCCGGACGGAGCCACCGGGTATGGTCGAGCAAGAATATCGCCTTTCTTCCCTAAGTATATGTGGCATGAAGGATTTACAATCATGGGCTCTCCTTTCCACGATGCCAACGAGATTTGGCCTGATCACTGCGCACCGTTTTGGTATGTTCTTCTCATGCACTTTCATGCACGTAGGTTGATTATATTCATGAATTAAGCTTGAGTAATTCTTTTTAATACTATCTTAAGTTTTTATATGTTATATATATAGGCTTAAGTTTATGTTTTTGGGAGAGTTGTTTTCTGAGTTTTGTTTTTCTATGACGTACCGGGGCTTTTAACTCGGGTGTTTGGATCGATCAGATGCATGTGGGCAGAGACTAATCTTTTTAAAAAAATGAATTTTGTTTGCATTGGACAGTGTCTTTACATACTAAACAAATGCTATACTCACCAGTGATCTCACCAAGTTAATATATATGAATGAAATGAAGAAGAGAAGAAAAAAGAAGACTCATTCGTTTTGTCCTTATACGCAATATTTTTCTGTTGAACTGTTGCGCATATCGACGTAACCTCCTGAATATATATATATGGTGAGAGTTGAGGATAGATATTGTTAGGATATTTAGCTTGAGCCGTTGTCCTTGAAAAATTAATGAATGTTAAGTAGCCAAGTTAAACATCTTCTAAAACCATCCACACCCCACATGCATGCTAGAGAGAAGCTGAGGCATGGCCCCTCAAACAATTCTCTCTTGTATGTATTAGTTAATATTAATCTCTCCCAAGAAAGACTTCACCATAATTAACAAAAACGAATATGAACTAAAAATCAGTTCAAAAGCTAATTTGAAATTCATGAACAAAGCATTTTAATCACTCGGATTTCAATACTACATGATAAAACCATCATTAGACAGTAATGAAGTGTTTGTTGGCAGTGAATTGATGGAAAATTATCAGAAGCAACTGAAGGTGCTGGCGGAGAAGCTAACACGCATGATGTTGGGATTCGTGGGGATTTCGGAGGAAGAAGCCAAGTGGGTGGGGTCAAGTGGCAGCACAGGAGCGGTTCAGCTGAACTACTACCCGCAGTGTCCCGAACCGAACCGGGCCATGGGTCTGGCCCCTCACACGGACACATCGGTCCTGACCATACTCCACCAGAGCCAGACCAAGGGCCTGCAGATCTTCAAGGACCGAGTGGGTTGGGTTCCGGTGCACCCGGACCCGCGTGCGCTCGTGGTGAACGTCGGCGATCTGCTTCACATAATATCAAACGCGAGGTTCCCTTGCGTGCTTCACAGAGTAACAGTGGATAGGGTTCAGCACCGGTACTCGGTGGCTTATTTCTACGGGCCACCTCTGGATTACGTTTTACTATCGCCTTTGGCCGAGCAAGCACGTTTTCGTGGGCGTCACAGTGAAAGAGTATATCGGGATTAAGGCCAATAATCTAGGGAAAGCACTCTCCTTGATTAGCACAAATTAATTAAATTAAACTAATAATCGTCTCATCATCTTCTTTACTTATTTCTTGATCTCGTCCCCTTCACTGCTTTTTCTTCCCTTTAGCTCCTTTTCTTTGCTGTCTCTCTTTTAGTTATATCCATTTGACTCGGACTCTTTAATTTGTTCATCAAGATACAATGAGTTAGATTTTCTATCTTCTCAAGTTATATTAGCGGGTAATAATTAATATGCCATAGACATTAATTTGATTAAGGTCAAATGGATAAGGTTATCCTTTGTGGTCATCACAGCTCAGCTTTTATACACAAGGAGTACTATATGGTTTTTTCAGTTTTTGATCTTCTTCTTGTGGACCAAAAAGTAGAAAAGCTTTAGTTACAGGATTAATTCGGTAGCCACTAGCTAGCACTGAGGTGGGTGTTTTTAAATTAAAAAGAATTATTGTATGATATGAAATAATAAAGTTTAGCTTTTGTTTTGTTTAATAATTTCATCGTACATTTGAATGACCTCCCAGCACGTTCCCCCTTTATTTTTGCTGCTTTTCGTTGAAAGTTATGATGACGAATAATATTCTCCAGCATAAAATATTTCTAAATTTATTTATATTCGCATTATAATTATTACTTTTCTTTTCTTTATTTAAATTACCCTTGTCATCTTTGCATGTCTCCTGCTTATTATAAATTCACACCTTAGTTTCTCTCATTTGTGTTGGCAGCTACATTCCTTGTTTGAGTAAAAATTAAATAGGGGCGCACTGACGACGCAAGTGATAATTAAGGGCTGCAGATAATTATTTAGGACGTGTTCATTATTTCAAAAGGCATACATGCATTATCACAATTCACAAGTACTGCAATTAACTCATGATTTGTACATAACATACATGCTATGCATGCGCGCGCGCGCGATTTTAACCTTACAAAAACATTGGAAATGAATTATATTTATTTTTTTTAGAACCATCATAGTTTGCTCAATTACGTGATATTGTTTTGCAAGAATCATATACCTGTGCGAGTTAAAAAGTTCCGGGTTGTGTTCTTAGCCACAACCGACCTCTGTGTGCGTGCGTGTGTGTGTATACACACTCCGAATTTGAAACTCCTAGTTTAAAATAATACTCCTTCTCATCTTAAAATAAAATGAATTATTGTTATTGTGTTTCATTATTGTTTTGAGGGAGTTTCGATTGATAGGAATAATTTGACAAAAATTAAATAGATAAAATAAAATGAATTAATGCCTTACATTTAAAATAAAAAGAAAAAAACTTATATATTTAGTCTTGCATGGACTCAAAATATTTATTTTCTATTAAATCAAAACAAGTGTATTATTTATAAATTATTTATTTTATGATAAATTTTTATTATGAATATTATTAATAACCAACCTAGGTAATTCTCCGATATATGCGAAGTAATAACTTACCATATAAGCCTTTTAAAACCACTGGGCATAGTTAAACATTCCCGATTCCAGTAAATTAAAGCATGCTCATTTATCCTTGTAATTGTAGCCCCTGGGCCCTGACTCAATATTTGTGATTATAGCCTGATGGAAATAAAACTCCATGCACATAGGTATATTTGAAATGGTATGCTGACGATGAATTAGCGTACATTTGCTTGTAATCATGATCTAAAAGCCACATTCTCATACAAAAAGAAAAAGAAAAGAAAGGTTGAATTAATGGCATGTGATGAAGTACATTTCGCTGGCTCCATAATATTGCGTGATCAATTCAACTACGTTCTTGGCTTCTTGATTGGTGGCTATTTCAATATTAGTGAAGATAGGCGTATGGTGAAACACAAACAGTGATTGTGTATTGCGGTAACAAGAGTACTGCGAGATGCGTGCATCCTTACAGTCAAATTGTGAAAATAAAATAAAATTTATGAATATAATGTGACTTTTCCAAAATATAATAATGAATCGAAAAAATGTAACCTAAGACGATGAAATTGATGACTCATGGACAAAACTTTACAATAATGTTGCCAAACTTCACAGTTCTAGATAAGTACTTGGAGGCTTTTTTGGCTAATATCAACATCGCATTCCATATCTTCGAATCAGATGGTAATATGAAATATAGAGGGGGGAAAAACTGCATAAAAAATGATAATTAAAAACCTCATAATAAGATTAATGTTAAATAAAGATTTTTAAAGATTTCTAGCACTAAAATAGAATATAAATACTGAATTTTGGAATTTTAATCACGAAGGGATCCTAATTTAATATTAATTTTTAATGACATTCTTACTTGTCATTCTCTCAAAATATATTGCATAATTTTTAGGGAGAATTTTATTAAAATCCCCAGGATATGATATAATTTCAAACAATACTCAAAAAATTCTAAAATTTTTCTGTAGGTTTAGAGGGTTGAAATGAAATAAATTCTCTTAATTAAATGATCAAAATGTCCTTCAATTAAAATTAGCATTTTTGAAATAGCTAGTAAAATTATAATTTTTACATATAATATTAATAGAATAACAAATCAAATTATAGGCTTTACAAGTAACATTACTAGAATAAATATAATTTCTTAATATTAATTGTAAAAACTGTAACTTGACTTGTAGTTCTACTAATGTTACTTCTAAAAATCATAAGTTAACTTGTTATTATATAATATTACTTGTAAAAATTATAATTTGACTTGTTATCTTACTAATGTTATTTGTAAAAGCTATAACATTACATGTCATTTTAGTTATATTACTTATAAAAACTATAATCTAATTTGTTATTATGATAACGTTACTTAATTATAAATATCATAACTTAACTTGTTATTCTAATAATATTATTTATAAAAATTATAATTAATTATAATTGAAGGATATTTTAATCATTTAATTAAAAAAATTATTTCATTTTAATATTTCAAGCTTGCACTAAATTTTTAGAATTTTTTAGATCCCATTTAAAATTATGTCACATCTAAACAAACTTTAATGAATTCTTTCTAATTTTTATCATGCTGGCATTATTATTTTCTAAAATAAAAAAGTGATCTAATCGTTTCATTTTTTTTCTATTTTATTATTTACTAGAATATCAATAAATATAACTTTTTTAATAGAACAAGGTCAGAAGACATCAAATCAATGTAATAACGTCAAGCAGCAATAATTAGAAGAGACAAAAAAATTGAATAGTTGATTCTTGAAGGTATATCAGAATGTGTGGGGTGCTAGGAAGGGGTTTTCATATCAAACAAATTAAAGCAGGGAGATTAAGGTAATAATGAAGATGGATCACCAGAATTAATTAGTCAAGTTGGAAAGTAGAGTTATATATAAAAGGCATGATAGGGCCGGTCAACCACGCATGCATGAATTTCAATCTTAATCCTTCACCGTCATCACTTTAATTTCATATATAGCTAATATGCCACACTTTGTAGGCTCTTTGTTTAATTTTCAAAGACGTACGTGTCTGTGTTTCTTGATTCGTTGCATTTGTATTTATAATTAGCCTAACAAGACACTACTAGAGGTATAACATATGCGTGTGTGCAAGGAAGAATAACAGTTAGGTCCTGAACGCTGAATTAATAGTACTTAAATTTTTTGATAAATTTTTTTAAAAATAAATTAAAAATATTAATTTAAATACTTACAAATTCAAAAATTTTAATTGTAAATAAGTATTTAAGTATCAAATATAATTTTTATATTACAATAAAAATTTTTGTTTGTAACTATTTAAATTGATATTTATAATTTATTTTTATAAAAAATTTTATTAAGAACTTAACTATAATTAATTTACTTCTTTTAAGACCTAACTATCATTCTTTCTATATAAAAATTAAGATAATTATAATCAATCAAATTAAATCACGTACATGCGTTGGATGGTGCTATTGAAGATCGAATAGGAAGGAATGAGGCTTTGGAATAAGACAAAGAGTTGGCTGTCAAATGACAAAGATTGACCCTTACTAACGTATGTTACTCTTAGTGAAATGGATTATAAGCTCACTTAATTAAGTACAGAATCTGGAGTTTAAGTTTGTATGTATGGCTTTAGAAAATGTTTTTTTTTCTTTTTTTGTAAAATGGATCTTAATTAATAAATAATTAAAATGGAAGCAATTAGAATTTGGAAGAGAAACAAAGACATTTTGCCGTGGCTGCTTTTTACCAATGACAATGTTTTCTTTTTTGGGATACAATAGAGGGCTAATGTCACGGGGCTAGTCTTTCGACCCGTGCGGCACTTAGACAACCTTCATTGGAAGTTGCTAAATAAGCCTAACTCATAGAAAAGGAGAATGCTTGGCTAAGAAGAGGAAAGGGAAAGCTTGAAGGCAAAGGAGAGTAGAGAGAGTTTGGAGAATGTGAGAGTTCTATAACTTTGAGAACTCAAGGATGATTTACAAATGAGGAGGGGTGAGGTATTTATAGGCCTCCCCTTAGATCTAGAATGTTCCCACCTCCTTAATGAACGGTGGAGATTAAATCTATCCTACGGTTACAATTGATTCTCTAGAATTCTCTCAACAAATATCTAGATATTTAAATGGAAGAATCTAGAGACAATATTAAAATATTGAAGCTAGAGTTGTGTAGACTTCTCTAGAATGTTCTTGCACTCTCTAGCACTTTTAAGGTTAGCTGGGAGCCTTCTGGAGGGTTTTGGAGCATTCCAGACCTCTTTAACCTTGTGAAAAATGACGAAACGTGACATTGCTCGACAATAGAAATTAATTAAACAAGAGAGGATTGAAATTCCAAACACTCGCTATCCACAAGATCTCAAGTAAGGAAGAACTACATCTAATAAAGAAGATCACTGAAGACCCTCCTTAGGTAGTACATCAGCAACACAATTTAGCCCCCTCAACACGTGTAATAATTGCACCTCCGAGTCGAATTCCATCATATTCAATATTTGCAAGCGGAGTAATTTTCCATTACCTTCCAAGGCATTTGTATTAATACTGTCAACAACCAGTTTCGCAGCAGATTCAAGAATGATCTTTTTAAATCCCATATCCAAGCTAATCTCAATCCTTTTAAAATCGCCCATTCCTCAGCTCCATGAGCACTACAATTTCCAAGGGAGTGAGAGAAGCTCATCACCCAGGTTCCTCTATGGTCCCTCAAAACTCCACCCCAGCTCCATCGTTAATACTTCCTTTGTCTTTAAGTTATATGATATTTTTAAATAAAATTTTACATATCAATAAATTTCATTAAATACACTCAATAATCTTATTTTTTCAAAATAAAAATATAAAATTTCAAAAATATCCATAATTTAATATATTAAAAGCAAAGAGACTGACATTAATTATAAAGAGGAAAAGGATAATATAGAAATTGACACATTTAATGAAACCTTAATTAACTCAAAGTGTCTTATATTTTAAAATGAAGAAACTCCTTTAAAAGTGTCCTATAATTTGGGACGGAGATAGTATTTGACATAGCTCTATCAACATTAACTTTAATCCTCTCGAGATTAGGGTTTTTCCAAACTCTCACGGCATGACTACTACAGCTCTCACCATCTATATTCAAATCTTTAGGCATAGTGAAGGACTTCCGAATGCTATTTTTGACTATAGCAGGTTCACTTTGTAAAACTCGGATTAAAAATAAAATTATTCCGCCAAACCCACAGTTTCCATATAACTACTCCCCACATCAAACTCCAATTAATGCTCAGATCAGGAGTACTGAATGTCCGTTTAAGATTAATAGTGAACCAATCAGCCAAAGACGTAGTATAAAATTGGGAATAGTACCTGGGGTGCAGTAATGTGTGCCATAATTGCCGAGCAAAGCCGCAATCCCAAATAAGCAAAACATCCTCAAAACTAGAATTACATCAGCCACAAAGAAAAGAGCTTGAGCTCCATCGACTTTTCCATTGATTAGATTGGAAGCCTATTCAGATAAGCCAACCACATGAATGCTCATATCCTTTCCACACTTCTCCATCGCCAAATCAATCTGTATAAAGGATCAAATAGATGTTCTAGGCATTCTTCAATAGTAAAGTACCCGCTTTTAACAGTGAAGTTGCCATGTTGATTAGGTTTCCACGTCATGATGTCAAGGGCGATGTTTATAATACTCCCTTGATTTCTATACTATACGTAAGTATCTTCAAATTAAGAGATATTATAATATTTTTAAATAATTAAATAATTTTGTCTTTGTCTATTTTTAAATAATTTTGTCTTTGTCTTAAAAAATTGAGAAAACATTACTTATGTGATTTACTCACCACCACTATTATATTAATTGTGAGATTATTAAGAGCAAGAATGAAGCATTATTGTAATTTTATATGATTTTAATTAAATAATAAAGTTTTATTGATATACAAGACTCGGTTAAAAACACTCCATACATGAAGAAAAGAGAGTACCTATATTCTTTTATAGCAATAATATTTCCCTAATATGCCATAAAGATAATATAAAAAAATATTTAAACTTTTCTCAGCTCGTAGCTCAAGTTGTGGTTTTGCTTCTTGTTTCAACCAGTCAAGCCAACCCTGAAGAAACTTGATTTTTTTTTTAAAAAATGATATTATGTTAATATTTTCTTTGGCATAGTACTAACGCAGTGGCATTTGGCAAGAGTTAATTATTTCTCACTTTATTAAAAAATATGACATTTTTTTTACAATTAAATGTTTAAAAATATAATATATTTTTAATATTTCAAAATATAATTATTACTTTTTTATTAGAGGTGTTTCTAATAAATAAATTACTTTATATTAATTGATAAAAAAATAAATTACTTTATATTTATTTTAAAATAAAATATTATATTAAATAGAAATAAATATTGAAAAAATAGTATTAATTTAAAAATAAGTAATTATTTGATTGATAATTAAAAATATCTTATAGTTTTAGGTGAAAGGAGTAAAATCTGAGACAATTAATTATGAATAAAATTAAGGATAACATTAAGCGTTTTGGTTGAAAGAGCGGTTCACTATGTATGATGGAACCGGCAACGTTATTCTATAAAGCACAAGGCGAATCACTGCAATTAATTTCAACTTGTGACGTGTAAGCCCGCGTCTACTGCACCGTAATGTTATAATTATATCTTCCCCCTGTTAAAATTGACTTGCCAGCTTTTTGTTGTTTTTACCTCTGACCATTACCTGTGTTCAAACACTTTCCATGATTGATATAAAAATATAAAATTCAAAACAAACACCATTATTCGCAATACATAACAAAATGCCGCAATTTCTTTCTCTAAGTGCGTCATCAATACAATATTCGACATAAAATTTATAGCAAATAATATTATTTACAAAACACGGATGGTGCACCTTATTGAAATACTACTCACGCAAGAGAAAACGAGAAGCTAAATTTTACAGAGAATGTGAGAATATAGAGAACAGAGAAGCAACTCATTCAATCACATGTCATCGAAAAAGAAAGCAGGACTTGAAGACGACGGAGAACGCCGCAACTTGAAGCAGCAAAAATTCCAATTTTCCAAGCTCTATCTTTTTCCGTGCTCAACACGGAAGCATTGTTATCTTTGACCCTGTGAACAGTATTTGGGCACTTTGACCAAACAAGAATGTCAACAATCTCTACTCTCTAATTGGGATTCGACGCCCAAGTTTCTCCTCCTTGGAGATTTCTTCCTGCAAAAATCTATATTCTTCAGGTATGAAGCCATAACTCATAAGAATCACTCTGCAAGCAGTCTCTTGAAAGGAATAACATGTCACACTATCAAGTGTTTCACTAGATAACTAATATGAAGGTAAGACATAGGGAAGGAGGAACAAAGGCCTGAATTTGAAAGGATTAGGATTGGGATTGGGTTTGGAGCTTTAAAATTATGTTTGGTATGAAGTAATAATTATAGGGAATACTTTCCTTCATTTTATTTTATAATTAAACACAAATTATAAAAAAACTATAATACCCCTTATAATTAATATAAAATAATTGCCCTAAAACCCATCTTCTCTCTGTCATGGACTCCCAATCGACCCCAAACCTCCCTCCCCTTGCCACCTATCACCCTTTCAACGACTTGGAACTAGAAGCAAACGCAGCAATGGAGCTCATCTGTGATGGATCTCATTCGATGACTTGGAACCAGATTTGGACGCTCAAACTGAAAGGCAAGCAGATTCAAAGGCAAGAAGGCAAGTAGACGCAAGGAGATGTAGTAGTGGAGGACGGTGGGAGGTAGACAAAAGGAGAAGGGAGCAAGATGAAGGAAGAAGACTCAAACTAGTGGTAGAGGACAGCGGGATGTAGACAAAGGGAGAAGGGAGGAAGATAGGAGAAGATTCAGACCAGCGGTGGAGGACGGTGGGATGTAGACGGAGGGAGAAGGGAGGAAGATGAAGGGAGAAGAACTTGAACCCAAACTTGTCAATGGTGGAAGACGGTATTGGCACTAGGGATGCCCACCATGATAGACTCAACTGAGTGAGAGAACAATGAGGGATGGGGTTAGGGGTGAGGAGAGAGAGATGAGAGAGGGTGTGAGGATGGTGTAATTTAGTCTGGAAAAAATCAATCCCACAATTGATTTCCTAATACTGGGGGGTGGTAATCTCATGTAGATGGAATTGGGATTGGGATTGGGATTAAATTTCCCAATCCTCCATACCAAACACAAAAAGCTGGTACTACCTAGTGCCAAGCCCAATCCCACCCTTCCAATCTTTCGTATCAAACGGGGCCAAAGTGTGCGTGCGTGTTTAGATACCAAAGATTAAACCTAATGTAGATTCGCCAACAAAACAATTCACGTGAGTTAAGAGAGAGGTGTCTCTGCCATTCCTCACTATGCTTGGATTAGAAAGTTGATACAATTTATTATACCTGAAACGCTTTCATCAGAGAATAGCAACGCTTTTGAGCACCAACTGCTGCAGCATACCTCTCCTTAACATCATCAAGATTTCTCTCTTCTTCTCGAAGCCCTATTTGAACCTTTTCTAGCTTCTACATATATGAAAGCAGCAGTATGAGCTCGGAATCAAGTATACCATATCCAGTGGACAGCCTTACAGTCAGACAAGAAGAAGCAAAATACAAAACCCCCAGCAGATACCAGAATTTTTGTCCACGTAAGACAATCATTTTTCAGAAAAACTATAAAGTGATGCATCACCTCAGAAACTTCAATACCCGGTCTCTCTAATTTATCAAATCATTCGTGGAAGAATATAGCATTACCTGCTGGCTGCCCTTGACAATTCCTTCCATGGATTTAACAAGTTTCATACGACCATCAGGGCTACTAAAGGCCTCTTGAAACTGCAGTAAAATGGAAGGAGGGCATCGGTAAAACTACTGATCTGAATCCATGGAAATGGCTACCGGCAAGAATTTATTTTGGTAGCAGTAAAAAAACACACATTGACAATTTTCTAAGAAACAAAAACATCAAACATGCCAGATAACATAAAATCTTGAGTAGTTGAAAACTATGATAAAAAGAAACAAAATGAAGAGACAATACAAATTTAATAATTTTTTTGGGGGGAAAAGTTCGATAGCATTCAAAGCAAATTTCCTAGATTACATCACACTCTCCATTCTCCAATGAGTACCTGTAAAATGATTGAATTCAATAGGGATGTTTCCTTTAGCATCAATTCTTTAATTTCCAAAAGAGCATTGTAAGTGGCATAGCATTTACGAGTTTGGCTATGTCTTCCCTGCACATTGGCAATGGGCAAGAAAATTCTATAATAATAAAAGCCAATATAAACATGGACAGGGCAAATCACCAAAATGCATGTGCAAACCTGGATAAGAGCATAAAGTTCTGAAAAGCGAAGTTCGTACCTACAGGAACACGAACCAGTTAGCACCTAAAGATATCGTGTCAAGGGTGTTACAAATTCATATAGCTCTCTTCTCTCCCATGTATATATATTTCACTAATCATTCTGGAATATTCTTTCACATTCTACATCCTATTTCTCATTCTCACACAAACAAAATGTTTGATAAAAACTCACACCTTGAGCTTGAACAAATCATTCTTCTATTAAAACAGTAAAAGAATATGTTGAGTAATCAATTAAAAATTTGGTATTCAAGAACCGATTCACAAATCTATTGGAGATGTAGTTTCTAATCAAAATTTTCATTTTAAGGAAACAAGTTATATGCACAACGTAAAGAGAGGGATTTCAATTTTGGCACCAACTATTGAGCATTCTGGTTCTCTTTCTGTCATTTAACATGATTATCTAGAAACAGCCATCGAAATTTATTTTCCCTGGCACAAGGCTGGTGTGAGTTTGAGCTGCATAAAAATTAAAATGGAAAAAAAGTAACAAATGCATTCAACTTCATTCAGCTTAGAGGTAAGGCATACAAGGAGTTGGAAGCATGTGAGTTTGTTTTATTTTATTTTATTTTATTTTTTTTTTTTTGGGTGGGGGGTTTAACTTACTGGATGAGTTCTGATTGGCATGGTACGTAATCAATCTGGCGTTTTATTGCTACAACATCCCCCGTTTTAGTAGCAAGCTCCTATCAGAAAGCATATGCAATCAAGTTATAGTAAGTGAATGGAAAATAGGAAAAATAAAACAGAGAATAACACCTTGATTAAATGAATCATCATAAAAATAAGAATAAAGGGGAGAAATCCATTTATTCAAAATATTTTACCTTTTTTGCTGAATCAAGGTTTTCAAGTGATTCACTTAAATGACGACGTAGTCCATCTAAGAGGATCTTGCTATCACAGCCATTTGCTATTTTCCCCTCCAATTCACTTATTTCAGCTTGAATTTCTGAATGTTTAGCATCACGATTAGACAGAAAATGATTTTCCTGCCTTTCAAGATCCTGAACTAAAAGTGAACAGCATAAGGAATAAATAATTTTCAAAGCCTAAAGACTCAAATGACATCTATCATTCACAATGCAAGCAGAATTCGTTTACACGGCTAAACAGCTACATAAGAATCTAAAAATCAAATTGTCTCATGCAATTCATGAGTCAATTCGCACAATACAATCCAATTAATACTGGCACCAATACAAATCTGTGACCAACATGTTCATGAGCTTGAATCATCATCACTCCCTCCACACAAATAAAGGCAATTCCAGAAAGAATTGATTAATCGTGTGTTTCCACAATTTGCACTTGATCCTATCTCAAGGTCATGCAGTGGGTAACATTGCCAGTTTTTCCCCCAATGATTGTCAGGTTTATTATGTCCAAACATCACCAGGTGCTTAAGTAGCATGAATTTTTTACAACAAAGGAAAAAACCATGAATATACAGAATGATATGTCTGGCAACTAAGGTTAGTACAAGGATCATAAAAGATCAAAAGTATGGAGCTTTCTGTGTGATAAACAATTTCGATATCCTTCCCAGCATAAACGTCATTTTGTTTCTTTGTGAACATGGTTCAGACTTTCCTAGCAAGCAAACCTCAAGATGTCATTTTCTCTCTGGTTTCAGGGTTTAAGTTGTTATCACTCACTATGTATCCTAAAATGAAAGCCAAGAGTATTTTGGTTGGCATATTGCTTGCAACATAACTTCTGAAAGACTTAGGGTTGGTTAACACGCATGTTTTAATTTTCAAGGTTTTTTTTTCCTTTACTTCTGAATTTTACAAAGTGATATTATTCAAAATTCAAAAGCATGCCTTCCGATTTCATGATGTGAATTGCCACTTGACTACTTTGATATCAACATTACATAAATGTCTGAAGCTTTAACACATAGTTTCAGATGTTATTGATATCATATTCCCACCTTTTCTTTTCTCTCTGTGCATGTGTATTTTTGTATGGGACGGAGATCATTCATGGTAGATAGTGCAAGTGAAACTACATGTTCCCCTTTTTTTCTTAGCATCCCCATCTCAAGTAAGTTAATTATTGAATGTATAGCTTTTCTTCTCCTTTATGTTCATTTCCTCTCTGTCATTTTGACGCCCATGGAAAATATAAAACTTCTCTTCAGCTTTTAGTTTGTTTCATACCCTTTCTAAGTCCGATATACTTCTATGAAGTTTAAAATGCAACAAATTTGATATACTGAGAAATAAAGTTAATTAGTCTGAATTAAACCGAACACATCACTCAGCAAAATTCTGTTTATTTAATTTTATACAAGGTGAGAAATACTTCATTATCATCAAATTGTTGTAGTTAATAAGAAATAATTATCCTTAAATATCATCATTAAAACAGAAAATGGACTGATTCGTAAAACATTTTCACTGTAGTAAATATAGTTGTTTAAATGAATTGGGAAAAACAATTCACCTTCAATGACTTCAACAACACGACCAGCTTCTGTACTGCAGTCTCAGCACCCTTATTGCTGATTCTCTCTCGTAGATCCTTCAATTTGTTCACAGCATTCATCTTTCGGAGTTTCTGGAGCACAACAAAATAATGATCCAACTACATTAAGACATCTTTTCGTGATAAAGGAGCACATCATTCATACCTAACATTGCTACATCTCACCAACCATTTCATCCAAATTGCCACGCAAGATCTTCGTTGAATTTTTCATTTTTGCAACTTCCTGCTTGCATTGCCGATGTGTATGCTCATCCTCTCCAACTGGATTTTCAGAGTGAAAAACCTAAATGTTCCGTATGAAAAAACAGGAACGCGTTTAACAAGAAGAAGAAGAAGAAGAAGAAGAATAGGAGTCACTTATCCCAGTTTAGTTTTCGTTTTTCTTTTCTTTTTTTTATCCATGAAATAATTTAGAAAGGTCTATTACCTCATTGCCACCTTCGTCGTGTTTCAATTGAACACGACCCACGAGCCATTGTATGACAGGAAAAATAAATTCACTGTCAAGATGATGAATATGTGAAGGTTTAAGCGGGTGAGGACATCCCACTAATCTTAAAGCTTCCTCAATGCATTCTACCGCGTCGCTGCACCTCCAAACCCCGAGATAAATCACCAACCATCAATTTGCTTTAAAAGTAATCGAAGTAAGTTTTTTCTTACTTGGAACTTATGAAAAAATAACAAGACAAGAGGGGGAAAAAGGAGGAGCCATGAGTATTTTGGCGGCGGCAATACTTACATCACGCTCCCTCGCCTCGGGTCGGATGGAGGGACAGAGGGATTGAGAGTAGCGATGCACCATGCGAGGCCACCGGCGAGCTTCTCCGCCGGAGGTACATAAGATTTTGTGGCGTCTAAGTAACCGGCGGAGTTGAGGAGATCGAAAATCTTAACAAGATTATCTTTCGTCTTCGAGTCCTCCATGTTCAGCTTCACTTATCGCAGCTTTCCTGACGCCGTGAGCGGTTTTATGAACCTGGACCGACTTGCGTTAGATTGTCTAACCAGGCTTCTGTAAGAAAATAAAATAATTATTTTGCAAACAAGTTTAGCTGAATTTTATTATTAACCATATAAATAATACTTATGAAAATATTTACACATTGTTAATCAACGGATTTTTTTTTAAAAACTCCAAAAAGAGTGCTTAATAATCAGACTAATATTTTTTTTGTGACAATCTAGAAATAACCATTCAAGTAACTGAGATAAAACACAAAGAAAAGAGTTAAGTAGAGCTCTTCGGAGTGAATGAGGCGTTAATAAAGATTAGGGTAGAAACAACGGTGGGGACTAGTAGAATTAACCCAGACATTGTGAAATTACCCAAAAGAACCAAGCTCGATGTCCTTGAATCATTGAATTCAAAACAATTAAAGGAAGACGGAAGGGTTTCTTTTGTAGGGATGTGGGCCTCGATGGGCTGAAAATATAAGCATCTTCGCGGGCTTTCAATGTGAAGACCGTGCAAATTGTCTGAAATTGGGCTTACTTTGCTCGGCATCACAAGCAAAAGACGGTGGAAGGCCATCTTTTTAATATATGACGAGAAATGGCTCTCTTTAATACAAGGCGAAGCTCAAACACTCCGTGCGACAACAGATGCCAGCTCGGGATCAAATTTTTGTTCTGTGGAAGACTCAAGTTGAAACCGATCAATTTCTGCGTCATTATATTTCCACTCCACGTACGGCTCTCCAATTAACGACATCACAATGACTGTAATTTCTTGCGCTTTACAATTTCCCTCCTGATAAAAGGACAAAGGAAATAGGGAAAAAGAAAAACTGGAAGAAGCAAGAAAGAGAGAGGCTAAGAGATGAAGCATTTAATTGGTTGAAGGAATTAAAGGGAAGACAGAAGGTGCTGATGAAATGACGAAAGCTATCCGAGTGTGGATAATACGGACGACATATCCTGTGAGTTTGTCTACCTCATGTTTCTTTTCATTAATTCCTCTCGTGATTCAGAACCTCGTTTCATGAAGTGGAAGTTGGCGCAGAAGCATGAGCTTCTCACGCAAGCCTGGGCGTCCTCTTGCACTTAATACTTACTAGCCGACATATTGTTGTAATAATTAAGTCACATGTCAAAATGATATGTCCCACATTACTCATATAATAGTCATAAACTTGACGTTTTGATCTTCAAACGGATTTGTCAAGGTCATACCAACATTTTCGGATGAAGGCTTTATGGTGGTTAATTCTTGTAACTAGTAACTAGTACTTAATGATGTCTTTAATCCCGCAAGTTAGTGCCTAACATTCATGTTCAAATTGCGGCCTATATAAAGGCTTGCATGCAAGCAAAACAATTTGCTCTAGCCTTTAAACTTTTAGGCTACCTCTTCTCATTTATGGAGCTATTTTGTTATTATATATCTGAGTTTGTTCCTACTAGTTTTTGTTGGTATATATCCTTTACTATTTTACAGGGTGAGTTTATTTAATTTTAAAGAGACGTCATTTAATAAATCTAATGTGAAGGAATAACTTTTAAAAATAGTGTCTTTCAACATGATTCAAATTTAAAATTATCCAACTGTTATCAACACATAAAATCCTCACTCATCACTTCTCTTTTTACTATTTTCATGCATGCCAGCTTGTAAAAACGACATCTGGTGGATTTTTTTTTTAAATGTAGTAAGCCATCTTGTGTCTAAAACCCAATAGCTCTGACTAATCCGAACAAGCCAATTGTTGTTGAGCAAAAGCCTTGAGAAATCAAACACCATTACATTCTCAGGGTTCAGACTTAAGGTTTTTAATTAAACTAATACAATTCCCTTGTTAGTTGCACCAAGTGTGCTCGTTGGTATGCATTTTCCTATTGGTTAGACTCGATTCTATTAGATAGTCTCAATTCGAACTTTTTATAAATTATTTTTTATGTTTGGAAAAGTAAGATGCAAAATAAAAAAATAATATATTATTATTTATTATTACCTTTTAGCTGGGGACTAGCTCAGGTGACAAAGAAGGGTAAAGTAGGAGGTAAAATTCAAGGATTCAATTGTTCAAACTCTCATGATGCAAATAAAAAAAATATATTTAAAGGTAATTAAATTTTCAAATGATGATTTAAAATTAAAATTTTAAATTATACTGAAAAAATAAAATTCAAAATAATAAGATTTTTCAATCCTCTACACATGGATGTTTTTAATTTTTAATTAAAAATATTCACGTTGGGCTGGACATTGCACAGTTTGCAAAACAGATCATCCAAATTCCAAACACCCAAAAAAAAAATTCATTGTGACATTATATTGTTGAGCTCTCTTTAATAGAAAAGAGGAACCTCTTCATTTCTTTCACTCTATTTTCCTCCACTTCTCTCATATCAACATTCATTAATTATGTAATTTAAAATTTTATTTAATAAAATAATATAAATGATTGAGATGGAAAAAGTGAAGGAGGAAAATTGAGAGATCCTTGATCCTGTAGGTGATCTAGGCCTTCATTTCTCTTTAAATAGTTCCCGTTAAATACGGACTATTTTTTATGTTATTAGAGAATAAATATTAGTACTCATCCCCTGATAAAATTTAGATAGTCTAAATTTAAGCTTTTTTACTTTATTTTATTTTTTTAAAATAAAAAATATGCAAAAAATATAGATGTCTTTAATAAATTTGTTTATCACTATTTGGCTACTAGAGATTTAATTTGGATAACTCAGTTTAATATTATTTTTTAATAATTTTTATAAATTAACTATTTAGATATATTCTACATAGTATAGATATAATTTAAAAAGTATAATTTAATATTAAAAATTTTATAATTTTTTAATTGATCATCTAGCTATATTCTAAACAATTCTATTTAATACTATAATATTTTTAATAATTTATTTTGATAACTTAATATAAAAATAATTTTAAATCAACGATAGTTTCATTTGAAAAAATGAAGGGCTCAAATCATTATATAAGAGTGATAAGCCAGTCTCGATTCGCATGAGGTCTCTTCTTTAATACTCCCTTTGTTTTTATGTTTTTTTATAAAGCGTCTGAGATGTAGTTTTCGGAAGAGGCCCAGACCCTCCACGAGCTTCTTCATCAGCACGAAGTTCAGCTCCAGCATTTCTCCGCTCACCGACTTCAATGTGTCGCTGGTGTGTGCATGTCCACATCATCCCGACCGCCCAATTAATTAGCAACGTTAAACACATCCAAAAGAAGAAGAAGAAGAAGAAGAACGAAGATAGATCGAAGGCGATGGATTCGAGGGAATGAAGTCGTTTGTCGTTACGGGGGGAAAAGTGAAACCGGCAGTTTCTTTACTGAACGTAAATGAGTTCCGTCATAAAATGCAATCTGTTCTGAGGATAAGGTCGTATTTAATATGGAAGAGAGCGTCCATGTTGAAACCAGATTTGAATATATTCGAGGAAAGGAAGGAGAGAGAGTACCAGAAAGTGGGTTTCGTGAGGCCACATGAGGTGTGAGTGAAGTCCTGAGCAGCGTGAGGCTGAGGAGCGTCGTCGACGCCGAAGCTTTTGACAGAGGGGAATGACGGGACAGTTGGCATGGTAGCTCCTGTAAGGTTTAGTGCTAGTGTGCTTCTGCTCTTCGTCTGGTCTCTTCAGGAAGATCAAACAAAGCTTCCATGCCTCTCAACATTTCTTGCTGTAACCTAATTAGGCTGGTTCTGTTATTCAGGAGCACGAAACAGCCATGAGTCTCACACGCCTCTCTCACTTTTCTGCTCAGGGCTCTCCATTGCTCAGTCCCTTCTTCTCCCTCCGTGAAAACCAGACAAGGTATCATCATCTCGTTTTTACTCTCTGAACCCATCTCTCTGTGTTTATGAAGATCGAAGCCTGGTTTTCGCTCGTTTATATGGGTGATCTGTTAGCGTGGCTTCCGGGAAAAGGGGGGAAATATATAACAAAATAATATGAAAGAACAAGTTATGGAAGGAGGGGGGGGGGGGGAGATGTGAGAGTGTGAAGTGTGAAGAGGAAGACATGTAGATGTAGGCTCATATATTAATGATGTTATGTGGGGAGGCTGAGATCAACGACTTAAAACGTGATATGTGTGAGCCTGGTAACAGGCTATATTACTCCCACATGATCCGTCAAGGACCATGTCTCCTGTGCTACGTACGTTGCTTCTCCCGTCTTTCTAACGGTAACGTCTTTTTTTTTTTTTTTTCATACTATTATGTTTAATACTTGCCATATATGTATATTGATAAACATTTAGTAGTTTATTTTAATCTATGTATATCTATTTCAATTTTTTTACTATTTTCTTAATTTTAAAGGAAGAGGGGTATAATTTATTTTTTAAAGATAAAAAATTAAAAAAAAATTATAATACTAGGATTGTGTAAATAACTTCATGATAACTCAGCAAATGATAACTCAGCAAGTTCGACCTTACTTGAGCCATTTAAGTCTATGTTTGTCCAACTCACCCTCATGGATTGTATGCATTTTTTAATTTCTTTTTTTAAAAAAATTAAATTGTTATAGTAATTATTTTTGTGATCATTATGCACTTTTTTTTATAAGTTTAATTTGTCAATCTCTTTCCAAATTTAAAATTATTTTTTTTAACTTTACATCATGCAAAAATAATGGATAATTGATAAGTGTAATATAAATTTAAAAATGATTACTTCTGTTTCCAACATCAGTTTAATAAGGAATTTAGTTTGGGCAATGATAATATCTTTTGGTTGATGGATAAAATTATTATTAATATGTTTTGGTTGATGGATAAAATTATTATCTTTGCAATGAGATGTTACATAAATTGCTACACGTCTATTTTTAATATTATATGATAATTGTTAATAAGATACTAGACAATTAAAAAATAACAGTAAAGAGTTTGTGATATAAAAAAAATTTAAGAGATTAATTTTAAAACTTAAAAAATGAAAGGTATTCTATGCAATTGTCCCAAGTAAGTGTCCTCACGGGACGGGGATGGGAGCGAGACACCTTTGTCCCATGTGCCATCCAAAAAAAAAGAAAGATCAAAATGAATTTTTGTCCTTCCTATCTTAGAAGTTATTTTATCTTGTTAGAAAT